TAATTACTGGTGATCAAAGATTAACTGATTTTATTTACAAGTACTCTGTATGGCTTTTTTTCTTCAATTAAAATGCAGTCAGGCCAGGTTAGTGCAGTGGACAACAAAGGCACCACATAAAGCTTTGTAGCTTTTGCAAAGCTATAGTACTTAAGTGCCTTATATCTCCTGTTGTACTTTATTATTATCTCTTCTTTCATTTTTCTTTTCTTTTTTTTTTTTTAAGCTATAGTTTTCTTCAAATGACACATCTTGTTATATCAAATCTGTTCAATCTGAGCAATTAATTCAGTGTCTGCAAGCAGTACCCAACTGCCAATGCCAGCAAGAGAAGGTCTGTTCACAACACTGGCATTGCAAACTTCAGTCCTTTCTCACCGCAGCAGATGAGCCCTTTGAGCAGAAATGTTCCTTCTTAGGGGGGTTGACATTTACAGCTCATGACTGGCAACCAGCTCCTTCCCTGTTAGCCAGGGTGGCTGCCACAGGCAGCTTCTGGCCCTCTAGTTAAAGGCGGGGGAAAGGAAAGATGGACATCTCAGCCTGTTCTTTCTTGCTTTCCTTCCCAACTGACCCAACCAGCTCGTGTTTGTCACCACTTCTACCCAGGGCTGCTTCAGGCACACAGTGGCCAGTCCCACGTGCCATACGCTGAATTCAGCCACTTCAACATCTGAGCCCACGCCAGCAACTACAAGACAGAGCTGATGGCTCTGAACCCCACCTTGCTCCCCTGCACAGTCCCCGGAGCCAATGCAAGAGTCCTGAGGTTGCACCCCTTCAGCTCTTGTCCTTTTTCAAGGTCTTAAGTTCTGCCAGGTCACCCCAAGCACTTATTTTGAGGGAAGATGTGGCTGGAGCAGAGGCTGCAGTTTCTAAGGCACTGTTGCCCTTGCTGACAGGAACCCTGCTCATATGGTGGAAGGGGAGGTGAAAAAGGTTAAAGTGTCCTGCTTCTGCAGTGGGAATGAGCTTTCCTGCTGCTGAGTGGACATCTCACCTCCTGATTGTGTGCAGGAGTATCTGGTATCCTTATATCTGCCTGAAAACCAACTGCCTTTCAAAGGGTGACTTGCTTGTGTTGTTCCCATCATCCTGGAGCAGTTTCAGACTTGTTGCAGCTACACGTGTCCCTCTGGGGAACGGTGAAGCTCTGATACCTCTGGGGGTCTTCCAGGGAAATCACCAGGATCCATCCGCAAACTCAGGCAGCCACACCTCAGCTTGCAAGGCTTCACGGGAGCAGTCTGGCTTCTTGACTTGCTTCTGGTCCAGCACAAGTCCTTAATCTGAGAAATCCCCTGGATTCCTCTTCTCTGCCATGAGAGACAAAATACCTTTTCCTTAAGTCTTTCCTTTCACGGGATGCAGACAAAAAGCTGAAATCAGAAAGAGCTCAGGGAAAGATGTGCTCAAAGCACATGCCAGTGGAAGCAGAGAGGCGCAAAAAACTGAAGCAACCACACCAAAAAATATTGTCATTGTTGTCACCTGAGCAGATCCCAGTGGAGGAGAACCTCCTTGCAGAAGTAACGCCACCCAGGTCACTCTCTAGTTCAGCACGTGAGATGTTTGACCTGGATCTGTCACCAGCAATCTTACTGCTCTGCCGAAACTTCTAGAGACAGGACCATCAGTAGCAATGTAGTCACGGTCCTTGGGAAATTCCATAAATATCAGAAATTTATGTCCTTAAGCGTAGCTCAAAAGGTGAGAGGAGTTAACTGAGGAAACCCTCCGCTCAGGAGTGAGAAGATAGGGCAGAAGTTGAAGGACCATGTGTCCTAGCACCAGAAACTGGTGGGGTGTGTATCTGTGGTGTTTTCAAGATGATCTTCAGCAAGAGACACATTGTGTTCAGAGCAGGGATCTGGGAATTAGGAGAGCTGGGTCTTATTTGACTGTCTTCACTCCAGAGGCTCTATCCAAGTACATCTTGTGCCCAAATATCTGCAGGGTCTTTGAGTTTGCCAAGCCAGGGCTTCCATTCCCCTTGCTCGGTGGTAGTTTGCCTGTTAGACAATCTGATACAGGATTTTAATGAAAATAGATGAATAATTTTCAATGTTAACTATCCCAAAGTGTGGCGTTTAGTCCAGTCCATCTCCTTTCTGTGATAATTAACTCTGAAATCCTGATTAGCATTATCTCAGTTAAGCCATCCTTCGATGTCTGCTCGCATATGGCCATGTCTGTGTACCCCAGGGGGGTTTGGGTGTTTTACGGGTGCCTGTGGCTATAATCCTGCTCCAAATTAACCCAATGATGTAACTGCTGGGTGATGCCGTCACCAGCTCAGGACCATCGCAGTCTGGGCAATTATGGAGTTAAGAGAATGCCAAAATGCCAGCCCCTGTGTGCAGCTCCTGTCCCTGGTGGGGGACACTTGCTGTTCTCCAGGGTAGGAGTTCCCCATGGGGTGCCACCAATGATGCTGAACACCCTCAACGTGCCACCTGGGCTCAGATCTGCCATCTCGGGGACAATCAGCATCAGACCAGCCTGGCTGCATCGGGTGCTGCCCGTGGGCTAAACAGCTCTGCTCCACACACAGCACACCTCGGGCTGGGAAATGGTCCACGGGTTCCAGCCTAAACCTTCTCTGAATGGACCAAACTCCAGAGACTCGGTGACGAGCGGGAGCGGGGTCAGGCCAGAGCACAGAGCCCTGTCCTGCAGGTTATTTAAAAATTCTGGAGAGGCAGCGAGGGCAGCGCTGGCGGCGAGAGACAGGAGAGACAGACAGGCTGGGAGCATCGCCCATCGTGCCACCATTTCCTCCAGCTGCCTCCCAGTGAGACCAGCGCCGCGGCACTTGCTCCTGCCAGCCAAAACAGCTGCATCTCTCTCCTTAAAAAAAAAAACAAAAAAAACCCCGTGAAGTCAAAGTCTCCCTGCAGACACAGTGCCCAGCCGACACAGAACTGACTATTTTGCTAACCCCTGCCTTGCAGCAAGTACTTTTTATGTCATGACACTGGATTCTGATGTGCAAAAGAGAATCGAATTTTTTTTTTTCCCTCTGCGTGCCCCACAGTTGTCAGAATCATTGCTGCTTTTTATTTTTTACATGCAGCAAATAGGAATAAAAAACTCTCCTGTTTCTCAAGCCAGGATGTCAATGAGCTATGAATAATGAAAAAAAAAATTTTCATGAATGGCGAAGACGCAGCAGAGAATTTTAACTAGTGAAGAGCTACAGCAGAAGGGACTGTGTTAGGATCATTACTGCTCCATAAAGCACCTCTTCCTGCTTGTCCTGTGCTCTGGACAGGGCTGGGCAGGACGCAGTGCCAGGGCACAGGGGGGGTCTGTGCCGTGCTGCCCACCCTCTGCCCTCCCTGCCCCACGTCTGCCCGCTCTCCTCTCCATCTCAGGGAACTGCCAGAGCTTCAGCCCCCTAAACGCCAGGTCATCCATCAAATCAGCGATTTACAAATGTAATAGTGGACTCTAGTAACATTTTTCAGTGGGTAAAATGCACTTCCCTCTCTCCTTCCAAAAATGTATAAACAGTTCATGCTCCAATTTTTGTAGCGTTGTATTAAATGTAGAGGGGGGGGCTATGCTCTTGCAGGAGAGGTGGACATTTGCTCACACACACATTTCTCATGTGTGACTTGGTTGTAGCTGGATGCAGCTTTTTCCTGACTGTTTTTTTTTTCAAACTACTGTAATATTAAAATCTTTCGTGCTGTTGGAAAAGGTTAATTTGTTTGTCTGAAGACAAACAACTGGCAATGCCTTAAGCTGTTGGCTGTTTCCTTTTTCTTGGTACCAGAAGCTTTTCCCCTCCTGCAACTTGCCCTGGAGCTTTACTCCCCGCTTCTTTAAACTGATCTCCAACATTATATTATTGATGAATAAAGGTCACCCCGTGAGGAAATGGCACATCTACTAGAAAACAATGTGCACTTTCTAAATTTGAACCGAGTCGTTTCCGTTCTTTGATTTAAGTTTAGTTACTTCCTGTGGTTTCTTGTCCTACGCCGCTGCTGAATCTTTGGATCCCCTCCAGGATAAATTGCACTCTTTCAATGAAATTAGAAACTGCGGCGGGGGATGGCTTCGCTGGTACGGCCAGTGAACAGCCCTTCAGCTAAATATTAGCCCACTTAGTGTTTTGATGAAGAGTGCCTAATTACCTGTGCGAGGTGACATGTCAAGCCTGAGCCATGTGTGTCCCCTCCGCGTCCTCTCCCACCCTGGTTTGTGACCAGACAAGCTGCTGGGCAAGAACTTCCAGCTCCTGTAGCCTCTGAAACCAGCAGCTCCTGCTGGAGACGGGGGGATCCTTCCCCCCCGAAGCCGAGCCACCTTCCCATGGGCAGGCTCGGGGTCAGCAGGGACAAGCTCTCAGCCCCACAGCATCCTTGTGCCAGGCCAACGCTCCCACCAGCCACAATTTGACATCAGGGTTTTAGGGATCAGAGCCAACTGGGGAAAACCCCCAGGGGGATCCTTCCCCCCCGAAGCCGAGCCACCTTCCCATGGGCAGGCTCGGGGTCAGCAGGGACAAGCTCTCAGCCCCACAGCATCCTTGTGCCAGGCCAACGCTCCCGCCAGCCACAATTTGATATCAGGGTTTTTAGGGATTAGAGTCAACTGGGGAAGACCCCCGAACCTTAGATAAGTCGTTTCAGGCAGTTTGCTGACGAAAATACACGCGAATATACACCAGTAACCCTACAATGTGCTTTCCCTCAGTCAAAATGATGGTTGGGCACTTCAGGAGCCCGCAGTAGTGGTAGCCCTCCCAGGACCTGGGGAGCTGTGTACGGCCAAGGTTAGGGAGAGGAGCACAGTAGCAAAGGCAGAGTGATGCACTTATAGCAGGGCAAGAGCTCTGACTCCCTCACGCACAATTTTGCCTTGTAAGACCTTCTGTGCAATAACCAGCCTGAGTAGAGAGCCCTGTTTGGGCTGGGGTTGCAGGGTATCAATAACGGTGCGCTCTTTCTCTCCCCCTGCCCCTGTTCCTTCTCCTTTCCTTCCCCCAGGATACTTAAGACCAGATTTTTCACCAGTCGTCGGACTGCTGTATCCATGGAGCCCCGGATTCCCCACAACATCACCGTTGTCCCCAACTCTGTGATGGTCCAGCCCTTGCTGGACAGTCGGATCCCCTATGGGCGGCTGCAGCACCCGCTCACCATCCTGCCCATCGACCAGATGAAGACAACCCACATCGAGAACGACTACACCGACAACCCCACCGCTTCCCAGCTGGCAGCCCAGAAGCGTCCCCGAGCCCCCCACGAACTGGTCTTGACCAACCAGCACCTGCAGCGGTGCGAGCAGGATGTCACCCACCCCTGGATTTCCTTCAGCGGGCGCCCCAGCTCCATCAGCAGCAGCAGCAGCACATCCTCAGACCAAAGGCTCCTGGACCACATGGCCCCGGCGCCCGTGGCGGAGCAGTCCTCCCCCAGAGCCGTCCGCATCCAGCCCAAGGTGATTAACTGCAAACCCCTGGACCTGAAGGGCCCCTTGTCTCAGGAACTGGACAAGCACTTTCTGCTGTGCGAAGCCTGTGGGAAATGCAAGTGCAAGGAGTGCGCGCTGCCCCGGACTCTGCCGTCCTGCTGGGTGTGCAACCAAGAGTGCCTCTGCTCGGCGCAGAACCTGGTCAACTACTCCACCTGCATGTGTCTGGTCAAGGGCGTCTTCTACCACTGCACCAACGAGGACGACGAGGGCACGTGCGCCGACCACCCCTGCTCCTGCTCCCACTCCAACTGCTGCGCCCGCTGGTCCTTCATGAGCGCCCTGTCCCTGGTGCTCCCCTGCCTGCTCTGCTACCTGCCAGCCACCGGCTGCGTCAAGCTCTCCCAGAGATGCTACGACCAAGTCAGCCGGCCCGGATGCAGATGCAAAAACACAAACAGTGTCATTTGCAAAGCGCTGCCGGAGAGCAAAGGGAACAGGCCAGAAAAGCCCTTTTGATAGCTTGGGAGGACGGGGAGTGGGAGGACGCCCCACGGAAGAGTTGGGGGTGGCGTTGGCTCTTTTTAATAACCTGTGTTCTGAGGATGACGTTAGCCTTTTGCCTTCGGAGAAAGCAGAAGCAACTGTTTCCACAAACTGAAGCACTTTGGGTTATTCAGGGTTTTGGAACTGGTCAGAATTTAAATAGTCGGGGCCAAAGGAGGAATCTTAATAATGTAGAGTGAAGGCTGAAAAACCTATGTGTGTATCACGAAGTACAGCTGCTTAAAAACTCCCGGGTCGGAGGGACGGACGGCTGCTCCCCACGCCTGCCCACCACAGCCACCACGGACTGCTGGCTCGGCCACGCAAGCCATAGCCCTTCCCTTCTGCTCTGCTCCCAGCACCTGCCGAGGGTGAGGGGTTCTCTCCCTCCTTCCCACCCACACCCCGGCAGAAGGGCCAGTTGCACACAAAGTACCCGTTTCTCAAAAGCTTTCTGTGTCCCTCAAAGATTTTGAGCCAGAAGTAAAGAGGCAGTTCGCTCGCTCAAGGGTCTCTCAACATGTAGACACGTGGCTTTCTTCGAACCCTCCTGGCCACCGTTGATTTGGACCCTCTTTTTTCAAAGCAAGGTGGTGGCAGGGCTGCTCCCTCCGCGGGAGGACCAGGGGCAGGATGTGTTCAGTTGGTTGTGTCAACACCCTGCCGTTCTGCCCGCCAGCTGATCTGTAGCATCAGGTTTCTCTCAATGGAATATTAATTTTACATCAACGGCGCAGACCCGCTCCAGAAGGATGTTGGTCGAATCCCGTTCCCCCAGCGCTCCCGCTTGCTCCCCCGGTGCTGGAGCAAAGGGGATCTTAAGTTCCACCAAGAGAAGACGTTCAGTGTTTGCTTCTCTAAACCTCTCAAGCTCTGTTAAGAAGTCACAAAAACCTAAGCGTAGGACACACATAGGTGTATTTTTATAGGGATATCAACCCAGTACCTCCTCTCCTGGAACAAGCTCTTCTTTGCTCATTAAATATTAAGATTTTTTTTTTGTCTTGGGGAAGAATGGCATTCACTTGAAGTACAGCCCATTCCCCCATCTCTATTGCTGCTGTTTGACTTTAGCCTCCTCTGTACAAAAGTGTGTCTTTTTAAATGTAGAGAAAATGCTTTTAATGTTTATTTTAGTATTAACAAATGCTAGGGAAAGCCAGGGGAGGGAAGAGAGCGTATTTAAGAAGTTTGCCCATGGTTTTCAGTGAGTGAGTACCATTGGCTTCGTCCGTGCACTCATCCTCGGGCCGGTGCTGCGTTCCCTTCGGATGCAGCAACCCCTTTCTCTTGACAACTACAAGGTGCTAAAGAAAAATCTTTGTCCAAACATGCAACACTGTAATAAGCAGGTAGGTACTTGTTGCATGCAGAAAACTGATCTAGTCTCTCTATTTTTATTTTTTTTTTGTTTAATTAGAGGAAATTTCCTCAGTAAATGCACAGCAGTGACAGTGAAATGTCATCTCTAATTAGATAAGCAATAGGCAGAGCTCATGTAGCATTTCCAGGAATCCCATTTGCTCGGTTGCAATACAGCTGCTGCGGAGGGGTTGGCAGGAGCGTCCTGATGGCAGCTCTGGTGTCTTTTGTTTTAAAGAGTTCATTTAACCTGGATGACTTGGGGTTTAGTTAAGCTTAATTGTAGATATTTATTGAATGAGGAATTTAAAAAAAAAAAAAAACAAAACAAAAAGTTTATAACACTTGCTAGCTTGTGTCTGATAAACCATAGGAAAAGTGTTGCTGTGTCTGTCACCAGATACCAATTCCTATAGTTTATCCTCGTGTCGATCGTATGGGGACACCAGAAAGAAGGAGGCAGGTGGGGATCCAGAGCTGTAAATATTACCTTGCACAAATGAGAGGGGAAAGGGTAAAAGGAAAACCAACCCCAAACTAGCTGAGCTGTTGGTTGAATGTATAAGGTATTGTATTTAATAAGAGAAATCACTTTCCTAAGATGCAAACAGGCTAGAAAAATGCAGCAGGAGAGGCATTTACCTGCTGCCCTCCTCTGTTGGGACCATAAAGATCCGAACAGCCTCCACCTATAGTTGTTTTGCTTTTTTGACCCTCTGTCCTTGGCTGTTCCTGGGGGATTTGTGCTGAAAAACTGCAACAAGCGAAGCCCATGGTTTAGGTGCATGGTCCTTGCAAGCAAATGCAACGCTGGAGTGGTCGCCACTGTGCCAATCTACACTCATGTATATACACCCAGCAACCCCCTATGGATTTCCTTTCCTTGTACATAGTTGTAAACTATTTCTCTGTCGGTTTCTTTTAATATATAAACCCTGCTATGGTGTAAGCCGATCCCACGCTGGAAGGCTGTGAAGCGTTAGTGGATGTGTTAGAGCAGTGGCAAATGTAGCAGAGCGACCCTCCCTCTCCTCCTCAGCCTCCAGACCCTGCTCCATCCCCTCCCGGCCCAAGGCACGGCAGGAAAGTCCCCGAGCTCTTTGCAGGGGGCTCAGAAAGGCTCAGGGTGGCCAAAGCGGGGGCTCTGCTGGCCACACTGTGCCACGGGGCTGGGGGAGGGTACGTCTCCGGTCAATAATGTCTTTATCTCCCTTTTTCCCCATCCCAGCACCCCCGTTCCCCATCCCTTTTTACGGTACTTGGGTCTCCTGCCGCCCCTCAGACGTGCCATGGGCACGGTGCCGTGTAACCCCAGCCCCGGCGAGGGCAGGGAGGTGGCAGCTCTGGGCCACCCGCCTGCAGGTCATGTCCCCCCTTGCAAACTGATGAACGGCTGCTAATTAGCACAGGGAGGTGTTCTCTCCTACCGTGTCAACCACGAAGGCGAGGGGGGACATGAGGGCAGGTCCCCCGGGACCAGCGCTGTGCCACCACAGAGCAGCTCTGGAGGAGGAGGACGGCGGGGCAATTAGGCTTCACCACCCTCAACTGCTAATTGCTTGGACGGTTCGTTGCCGGGTACTGTCCTCTGCCCACACACAGAAGCCCAGAGAGCAAGAAGGGGTGACTTCACAACACGTTGGCAGTGCCACACCATGTTCCTGGCTGGAGAAGCATCACCAGAGTGGCTCCAACAGCCAAATTAACCATCACAGCACCCCGTGTCCCAGTGCCCACCGGGCACAAGGACCACCTCCTAAATCCACACTGTTGCTCCCCGGGCACCGGCTCCCCCTCGCCCTTCACAGCACGGGGTGTTCTTCCTCCCCTCCCACCCTGATAAAGGTTTCCCCCTTCTCCTGTTGGCACCCCACCACATACACACCCTGAAAAGTTACCACAGAAGGTTTTCTTTGTATAGAATATTTATTTTGAAGCTCTATTTTAATAGTATTTATTTTAGAAAGTCTACTATTGTAAGAGTTCTTCTGTTTGTGAAGAAAAACAAGTACTGATGAATGTACTGATCTAGAAATTATATATATATAAATATATATTGTTAAATATATAAATGGCTGTTGTGGTTTTTAAAAAAAAAAATCCCAAAGAATGTTTATAGCAATTATTCTAAAAATACAAGCAGAGAGTAGCCCAAAATCAGTTATTTGATACTACACACAGCAGGAGCGACAGAGGGAGCAGAGACCCGGGTGAGAGAACTTGTAATTCAGACAGTGAACTGGCCTTGGGGACACCGGTGTGGGGGTGTGCAGACACCCCCCACCCAAAGGGGGACCACAGCCCCCGATATGCCCCAGTGATCATTGAGATCCACTGACTCCACGTGGGAAAGCCATGGCCAGGACAGAGCTTCCCAGGGGAAGGGGCATCCCCGAGTCCCCCACTCCGCAGCGAGGGGAGCCCCACTGCCCCCAGGCACCCCAAAGGCACCCAGCCCCTCGCCAGGATGCTCTCCAGCCCCATTTTACTCCATCTGAGGACCTCGGGGTGATGCTGGGGGTGTTCTGCCCCATGGCCTGGCTTGTCAGGACCCACATCGTTTAAATATCCCCCAAGTCACCTGCAGCCTCGGGGAGAACATCCCGCTGTCTCCACTTGTAGGAGCAGCTCTCTCCTTCCCTCCGCCTCTAAACCACACCAGCGAGACCTGCACTGACATCAGGCTGCTGCTTCCACGGGGCTGGAGCTCAACTTGTACTACAAAACCGAGGCTGGAGATTAAAAGAACCCCCAAAGCCCGTGGTACCCTCAGCACAGAGGGATTTTGCTGAAGGGCACACCCCACAGAGCCTCCCTCGACATTTCAGACCTGCTCCCTGCTGTCGTGCTTCTCATTTCTAGCAGAGCCCGAGCTGTTTGTACACCAGGCACTTGGGGAGGGGGTCTGCTCACACCAACGACAGGGCTGGACGGAGAGGAAAAGGCCAGGAGGGCTCTACCTTCCCTCTGCCACCTCATGCTCTCACCCAAACGTTCATAAAACCAGAAGTCCACGGCCTCAGGCAGCTGTAATTTCCTAATTTATGAGTCTCCAGGACAGGACAGAGCCCGAGCTGTTTGTACACCAGGCACTTGGGGAGGGGGTCTGCTCACACCAACGACAGGGCTGGACGGAGAGGAAAAGGCCAGGAGGGCTCTACCTTCCCTCTGCCACCTCATGCTCTCACCCAAACGTTCATAAAACCAGAAGTCCACGGCCTCAGGCAGCTGTAATTTCCTAATTTATGAGTCTCCAGGACAGGAGGGGAGCTCTCAGCCCACCCAATGCTCTGTGGTGGTCTCCATCCCTTCCATCGCCCACCCACTCCTGCCACCCCCGGGCACCCACAATTAGGGGTATCTCTGCTCACAGGGGACAGATTTCCCCAAATAATTCAAATCTCTTCCCACACTGACTGGCACACAGTGCCCTGCCTCCCCCCACCCCGGGCTGCTGCCTCCCGCCTCACCAGCATCACGTTAGGCTGCTAAAAATAAATTATCCAGGTTATTTTTCACCGTTCCTGTTATTTATTTGCACGCGCTCCGGAGCTATGACTCATGAGAAGACATGCCGTGTTTGGTGTCACCCGCAAAGGTAACCCCAGTGCTTCACCTGGCCTCAAATAACGGTATCGAAACAGCAGCGTTGAGATAGTCACTGGATCAGCTCAGGAGACAATAACTCCACGGCACACGTCATGGCAGCTGACGCCCAAAAATATGCAACAAGGAAGAGATGCTGAATTTGTTGTGCTGGTGGTGGGGATTTTTTTTTTTTTTTCTTTTTTTTTTTTTAACAAACAGACTGAGCCAGGATGTATAAATTTAAATCTGAGTTTGGCAACACTGACTGATGTCTTGCACATACAGCATTAAAAATATCAACTCATCGTTCACGTCTCTCTGCTGGAAGCGAACCAGAGCACTCTTGCTGATATGACTAGGAGATGTTAAAGTAGTATTTTTTCAATCAGAATCATCACCTATTTTAAAATCTTTTTTTTCCACACCATTTTAATAATTGACCATTGAAGGAAAGCAATTCCAAAGCCACGAGCACAGGTTATAAGGTGGCCAAGACAGATACAGAACTAGAAGAATAACAGGCTTCCCAGCTCCCTCCTGGCTCCAAAGCAACCACAGCTCTCGCAGGTCAGACCAGAAAAGGAATTTCTAGTGAATCAAAGCATCCAAAATACCCATTAAGCAACGCGTTAATTCTAAGCAAATGGACTGAAACCTATAGAAATGAGATAAGAAGCTAATTTCAAAATTTTCTTTACGACTCTTTTGCTAAAATATATACTTAATAAACCTGTTGAGATTTTTCCAAAGGTTTAAAAAAAAAAAAAAAAGCCTCCCAGCCATGGTGGGGTGTGAGATGTGTCAGCATTGCCAGCAGCAGGAAGAGGGGACGGGGAGAGCAAACGAGCAACATTGGGCAAAAGTCGCATCCATCCTCGAAGGCAAACATTGGGATTATGTGGCTTCGCACCAAAGACTAAATAAAGCCCTGAAGATGGGGCTTTTCAGTCCCTGGCAGCTCAGAGATGGCTTTTTTTTTTTTTGGCCGGGGAGCAGGATGCATTTTTCTATGGTGAGATGCCTCTGCAAGAGCAAGGGGAACAATAGCCATGGCAGGATCCAGGAAAAAGCAGGAATTGCAGTGGGCATCGGCTGGAAAACCGGGGCTCAGGCGGCGTGGGGCTCGCTCAGCACCCTGCCATGGGGGACCCACAGGATCCAGCCCCCCCAGGCCACGTGCCCAGCACCACTCACCCTCAGCCCCCGGAGCAGGACAGACCCCAGCCCCGACGTGCAGCTCACCGGGGGCCAACCCACCCAAGCTTCTCCAATAAGGGATTTTTATATATTTTTTTAATTCTTTGCAATTATACCAAGTTCTTCCCACCACGTGCACAGATGCCTGCAGGTCTCCAGATACACACATGGAGCCAGAGGGGGGTTACTCGGTGCCATTGCCCTCAGTGAGCATCTCTGCTCTGTTTACAGGGACATTAGATAAAAATTAGGTAAGGGATTCAAGGTCTAGTCTGTCCTTTAAAAAAAAAAAAAAAATATTAATAGGCAGCAGATCCCCATCCCTGATCATGCTGCTGGCACAGGAGCTTCTCACTCATTTCTTGAATTTCCAGGTGTGATGCTGGGGCAAACATGGCCGGCAGGAGCCCGGCTGTGGGACAGGAGCTGTGCTGCTCTCACATGGGTACCAGCTCCCACAGCCCTTTTTTCCCAGTAATTAATCGTTTCTATCACTGAGATTAGACACCGGTGATGTGTGAAGGGGCACGACGGCAGCTTTGGCAGGAGGGAGAGCCCTGTGCCCTGGCTCCTCACAGGGATCCACAGACCAGCACAGGGCACCCACAGATGAAGTTTGGCCTTTTGTGAGGGGCAGACAAATGGCCGGGATAAAGATAAATTGCCTTTGCATTTTGTTTGACTTCCTAATGAGGATAACCTCCTGTGTGAGACGGTGAGTCACCGGGCTGCCCGCTCCCACCCACCCCCAGCGCCGTAAAACTTGAAGGGATCTCCTCAAAGAGCTGAGAACAACCACGACCCTTCCAAGGGCACCTGCTCTCCCCCACAAAGCCAGGGCTTCCTTTTCAGGGAAGTTACGAGATGGCCATAAAGGTCAAGGCAAAGCCTTCCAGCAGGGAAATGTGGGTCTCACCCCCCCTCTTGCACCCCAGACTAGTTTGGTGTGAGGGGCATGGAGCCACCCGCACCCCTCAAAAGACCCCGGGGACCCGAGTGGGACCCTGGGTGCTGGGTTTGGAGGCAGAAGAGGGGTGAAGGGGGATGACAGAAGCTGCCTGGGCCACCAGAACCCATCGTAGCCCTGGGGAAAGCAGCCCTGGGCACCCAAGCTGGACACACTGAGGCTTCTGCTGCTTCCTCGGGGGTTGTTATCACAAAAAATAACCAGCAAGCAGAGAAACAGCAAAGGCATAACCAGAGGAGATATTCTTCATTATGGATATATTTTTAAACAGATTTTTAAAAACCCACCAGGGTTTCCCTGGTGTCAAGAGAGCTGTATCTATTTCACACGGGCTCAGCAGTCACCCAGCAGCTGAAGGATGGCTCAGGACTCAGTTCCTCCCACCCAGTGATCCCCGGAAAACAGCAAAGGAGGTAGCACGGAGTTTCTGAACCAAACCACCAGGATTTCCAGTCTCTAAGGTTTCTATTTGCTTCTGCCAGACCATTGTCCCACCAGCCCATGCAGGGAGGAGGGCAGCATCCCTGGGGACAGCCCCCGGATCCCCTGCTCAGCTGGGGTCCTCAAACCCAACAGGGTTTATCCTCCCAAGCACAAAGGCCCAATTTCTCAGCAGTCAGTATGAAATAATTTAGTTTTCCATATACCTAAAACCGAGGGGAGACCGTGCCGGGTGCTCCCCTCTTGCTCTGCAGCACTGCAGCTTTCATTGACATTTTTCTCCCCTTACGACAGGGGAATAAATAGAAATTTATGCATGGAGAAATTCTTATGAATAAATCATAAAACCAAGTTCCGCGCAATGCCAGGTATGTTTGTGATTATGCGATGCTGTTATGCAACTGGGTTTTCCTAATCAGAAACACGATATTCTGGGAGCAGGAAACTGGGACGTTCTGCACCACGTCCCCTCGCTCCAATTACCGCTCCCGAGCGGCAAAATCCTCCACCAGGAAACGTCCTGCTCCGAGCTGGGAAGGAAACAGTTCGTGTTGCCTCTTCAGCAGAGCCCAAAGACATGGTAAAGCACAAATATATGAATAAAAAAAATATCCATTATTGTTGACACAGTATTTAATTGTTTTTCACGAAGAGGTGAGTTGTCAGCACAGATTCTCCACTTCAGACCCCACAGGGGACTATGGTACCAGGGACTAAAGTGTCCAGGGCTCCACCAAACCCAAGTTCTTGTCATCTCTCATGTTCAAGGATGAGGAATGATGATTCTGATTTCACCAGCTGCCCCCTCACACTGCAAAGAGCTCCAAGGCCAGCATGAACCAGCGCTCCTGAGAGTCCTGTAAATAATCCTTATA